CTAACGGTTACCGCACGGCACGCCAGCAGCCTGTCTTGCACGCAGCATGGGGCGGCGGATGTCAAAGGCGCCCGCGGCGAATCGCGGCCGCCCCGCTGCCTTTTGGGATGCGCCAGCGTCATGGCGCCAGCATCGCCAGAGCGGATGGGCCCGGAGTGTCCTGGAGAGTTTCATTCAGGACTTCGAGGTGAATTTCGTGCGATTTCTGTTGGCCAGGAATGAAGACCAAAACACATCCCGCATGACGTTCACTTCGTTTTTCGCTCGCCGTTTCGGGGTTTTGCATTGACAGACATCCACGAACAAATCCGCTGGAGCATGTCTGCAAGGTCGGGTGGCAAAACGCTTGGGCAGAGCTTGGCCACGCTGTTGGACCGTGCGTTCCCCCAGCCGTTGTGGAAGCCCTTCAGGGAGCATGCGGGGGAGGAAGAGGAGAATGGGAGAGGAAGGAACAAGGTGGGCGAGGAGGAGGACGAGGAGGAAGAGACCTCTTGGGAGCTTCTTGGGTCATTCTTGCGGCCTCCTGGGAGCTTCCTGAGAGCCTCTCGGAGGCTTTTCGGGGGCCACCTTGGGCCTCTTGGGGGCCTTTCGGCGCTTCTTGGGGGCCTCTTTGGCAGTCTTACGGCGTTCCTGGCCCGTCTGACGCCTTCGGAAGCCGTCTTGGGGGGCATCTCTGGGCTGTCTTGGGGCCCCCTTGGGGCGCTTCAGGGTCGTCTGGAAGGCCATCTTGGGCGTCTTTGCGCCTCTTGGGTCGTCTTGGGGCCCGTCGGGAGCTGTCTTGGGGGCCCCTCGGGCCGTCATAGGGGCCATCTTGGAGGCCACTTGGGCGATCTTGGGAAGATCTTTGGAGCCTCTTGGGTCGTCTTGGGCCGACGGGAGACCGTGTGAAGCAAGTGCCCCAATCCTGCAACAACCTACGGGAATACATGATTTTGAACTCTTCGGGCCTTTCTTGATGACCTTTTGGAGGCCTCTTGGGCCGTCTTAGGGGCTTCTTGGTTGCCTCTTGGGCCGTCTTCGGCCATAGTGAGGCCATGTTAGGCCGTCTGAGGTGCATCTTGGACCGTCTCGGAGACATGTTCCGGCCACCTTGGCCACCTGGGAGGCATCTTGGAGGCCATCTTGTGCCATCTTGGCCGTCTTGGAAGCGATTCGGCAAATCTGTCGGCGGATTCTGCGGCCTTCGGGTGGCCGGCGCAATAGACCGAAGTCCCTGGGGAAGTTCTCAAATAACCAAAAACACGTTTGGTTTTTTTGACTCAGGTAAAACTAATTGCATGGACGGGGGGGGCAGCCTGAAGCAAGCCGAAAACAGCTCGACGTGCTGAAGCCACGCAAGTGGAAAGGCACTTGCACGCTCGTGTTCGATTGAAGAGGGGCGGCTCAAACCACCAGACGTCCAGCACGCCAGGCACCCCCGAGGCACAGCCACAAGGGGGGCGGATCCGGTCCACCCCGCCACCGCGCCCAGGTCGTAGTGGCCCCCAGGGTGCCCCCCAGACGGCCAAGGCGGCCGCAGGATGTCTCCGAGACGGCCCAAGAGGCACCTCGGGCGGCCTGAGCTGGCCTCACTGTGGCTGGAGACGGCCCGAGAGTCACCACCCACCAAACCACCCCAACCCATCCCGAAGGCTCAGATTTACCCTCGATTTCCAGTGGGGGGGGGTCGGGAAACATCGAAGAAACACATGTGGAACCCTTACCCCCCCCCAAACCCGAAATTCGGGTCTTCGGGTTGGGTTTGGGTGGTCTGGTAGGTAGTCAGAGAGGCACCCAGGACGCTCCCGAGACGGCCCAAGCGGCCTCCAAGAGGTCCTCCAGCTTGGCCCGGGGAGGCCACAGTCGTGAATCACCCGAGGTTTCTGAAGGATTCGGGCATCTGCCTCTTGGATGCACATGAGGGTCTCTTGAGATGCCTCTGCGGGGCTCCTAACAGGGCTCTTGCAGGCCTCTTGGCGGCCTCGTGGGGCCTCTTGGGGGCTTCTTGGGGGTCTGCTGGCGGTCTCGGGTCGTCCTGGGGCGGAGGGCTCGGGATGCCACTTTGCGCTTCCCCTCTTGGGGGGGCATTCTTGGGGCCCTCCGGGGCTATTTTGGGCTCCTATTTTGGAGCCTCTTGGGGTGATCTTGGGGGCCTCTAGGGACGTCTTGGAGCGCTCGCGGCCCGCAAATGGCGAGAACGCTAACATCTTTCAAAAGTTTTGGGCATATCACTGTTTCCGTCATCTTGGGGCACGGACCGTCTTGAAGCCATCTTGGGCGGTCTCGGGGCCTCTTGGACCGTCATAGGGCCCTCTTGTGACCCTCTTGTTCCGTCGTGTGGGTCTGAGGTCTCGGGGCAAGTCCCGCGGATAATCCTGGAAACGCCCGAGAGCGCCCGGGAATTTCGGGAATCTGGGTATCGAGCCCTCTTCGAAGTCCACAATTCAGAAGCAGGAGGTGGAGGAGACTGGAGGACGAGGATCGATTGCTGACATGTTCGTTCCCGCCTCATGCCCGGCAGGACGGCGTCTTGAAGAAGGCCTATCTCGTTGGGCAGAAGAATTGCAAGTGCCCAGGGCTGAACAACTTTCGAAACAATTGCAATAGCGATCCCCCTCCTCCTCCCTCTTCCTGCCCTCCTCCCCGACCTACGGTCTGTTTGCGCCTGTAGTTCATCCTGGTAGTCTTGGTCTTGGCGGTAATCCTGGTAGTCCATCCTCCCTGACCTCCTTCCTGCTTCTCCTGCTCCCAAACTTCCAGCTCCTCCTCCCCCGTACTCGCAGGAAGACGAGGAAGCGGCGTAGGTGGAGCATGAGACGGGGGATAAGGTAGGAGGCGACTGGTACAGATGGTGGCCATGACGAGCGTGATGCTGACGAGGAGATGGATGATGATCGTGGACGATCGCAGTACCGATGATGAGGAGGCGATGATAATGATGCTGGTGATGATGATGAAGAAAATGATGCTGATGATGATGCTGATGATGGTGACGATTATGATGATGATGGTGATGGGTTTGATGCTGATGATGCTGCTGCTGGTGATGAATACACTGAAGATGATGACCATCTGATTGATGATGGTGATGCTGGTGGTGATGGTGAAGATGGTCATGACGATTACGATGACGATACTGATGATCATGGTGCTGATGACGATGATGACAATGATAATGATGATGGTGCTGATGCTGATGCTGCTGCTGATGATGTTGCTGATGATGGCTATGATTATGATGCTGATGATGCTGATGCTGATGGTGATGCTGATGCTGATGCTGATGATGCTGATGCTGCTGCTGCTGCTGATGCTGATGCTGCGGATAATGATGACGATGCTGATGCTGATGCTGATGATCATGATGCTGATGATGCTGATGATGATGATGATACTGATGCTGATGATGATGCTTATGATAATGCTGATGATCATGATGCTGCTGCTGATGATGATACTGATGCTGATGATGCTGCTGCTGATGATGCTGCTGCTGATGATGATGCTGACGATGATGATGCTGTTGATGCTGCTGCTGATGATGATGAGGATTGTGTAGATCATTACGATGCTGATGATGATGCTGCTGATGACGATGGTGCTGCTGATGCTGCTGCTGATGATAATGATGATGCTGTTGATGATGATGATGACGATGACGATGACGATGATGATGATGATGACGATGATGATTGTGATGATGATGATGCTGCTGATGCTGATGATGATGATGCTGATGATGATGATGATGCTGATGCTGATGCTGATGCTGATGCTGATGCTGATGATGATGATGATGATGATGATGATGATGATGATGATGATGATGATGATGATAATGATGATGATGATGCTGATGATGATGATGCTGATGATGATGATGATGATGATGGTGGTGGTGGTGGTGGTGATGATGATGATGATGATGATGATGATGATGATGATGATGATGATGATGATGATCGGGTGCTGAGTTACAGGGTTCAGGAGTGGTGCGTCGCTAGCCCCACTGGAACCGACGGGCCCCCCTGGGCTAGGCGATGAGGGGCGGCCCAGGGACGCCAGGACGGGCAGGCTGCCCGCAGAACGCGCAGGCTGCCCGGCGAGGGCCCCATGTTGCCTGAGGCCAGCAGGAGGCATGGCAGCAGCCCGCCACCTCCGCACAGGCTCTCGGTCCAGGCGGCGAACGAGCCCCAGACCCCAGAGGCGGGAGCAGCCGACGGCCACCGCGGGCCGCCAGCCAAGTTTTCAAGCCTGCTTGCCGTCCGCGTCGGGGGCGGTCTTCACGGGAACGGCGTAGGCCAGTACGCCGCATCGCGCTGGCGGCGTTGGTGTCGGGGTGTCCGAGGACCGTGATCCTGCGCGGCCTCTGTGACACTTGAGCTACGCAAAAAGACGGGGTTGTTTGCGCCGACGTTGGCGCGTCAGTTGCCCGCGTAAGGTCGCGCGTGAGCGCCCTTGGTCCAATGTAGCATGCCGCTCCGGCGGCCCGCGTGAGCCGCGGCGTAAGGCCTCTATGCCATCTCGCGTAAGACCCGCTCTTGATCGTTGCTCACCTCACGACGACGGCGGCCTGCGGCGTGCGCGTGGCCCGCGGCGCCGCGCCATCGAGCCGCGTTTTTCCGCGCCGCTCGGCCGCGGCCGCGGCGGCTGCGGTGCTGCGGGCACGGGCGGCCTTTGCCTCGGCCGTCTGCAGCGCCACCGTCGGCGCCGGCGCCGCGGCGGCGAGGCGTCGGCGCAGGCGGCCGCCGAGTGCGGCCAGCGCCTGCCACGGGTCGACTGGGAGCGCCACGCGCCCGCGGCGGTGGGCGCCATGAGCGTCGCCGCGGGCGGCTCCACGGCCACGGCGGGCGGCTCCACGGCCATGGATGTAATGGCGTGGCGGCCGCCAGCCAGGAGCGCCGCCGAGCCCGCGCGGCCCCGCATCGGCATCCTCAAGACCACGTCGAAGAGCAGCAGCGCCCAGGCGGCCCAGCCGAGGCCGGGCGTGGTGGTACGGCCCTCGCCGCAGTCCTCGGTGCCCTCGGTCTGCTCGGTGGAGGGCTCCCCGTGGTGCTGGTCGCCCTCGGACCTCGCGTCGCGGTCCCCCTCTTCGATGCCCTCCTGCTCGATGCCTCGGTCTGCGCAGAGCCTCCGTGCCCTCGAGCTCCTTCGTCGATGCCCTCGACCTGCGCGGCGAACGTCTCCTCGAACGGGTCGCCGTCGATCTCGAGCGGCGCCGGGAGCCTCGCTCGCGCCGCGCGCTGCCGCGATCGCAGCGGCCGCTGCTGTTGCTGCTGCTGGTGGTGACGCTGCTGCTGCTGCTGATGATGATGATGCTGATGCTGATGCTGCTGATGATGATGCTGCTGATGATGGTGCTGCTGATGATGGCGGTGGTGCTGGAGATGGTGATGGTGATGTTGATGCTGTTGCTGATGATTGTGATGATGATGGCAATGATGCTGATTGTGCTGATGATGGTGATGATGGTGATGATGATGATGATGCTGATGCTGATGCTGATGATGATACTGATGATAATGATGATAATGATGCTGACGCTGACGCTGATGCTGCTGCTGATGATGATGATGCAGATGATGATGATGATGCTGATGATGATGATGATGCTGATGCTGCTGCTGATGATGATGATGCTGATGATGATGATGATGATGATGATGATGATGATGATCGCAATGGTGATGTGATGATGCGGCGGAAGGGAAGGGGGATGATGAGGACTGACGATATGGACAAGTAAGTGGGTACGTATCCACACGAACACTCCAAGGGGACGATTGGCGGCAAAATGAGCAGGGTGAAGCAGATCACCATGGGCAGGATGAGGAATGCGATGAGGATGAGGATTACGGTTGGAGGCGGAGGCGGAACCGCAGCAGAGGAGGTGTAGGAGTAAGAAGCAGGCCAGCCAGCTTGAGCCAGCCAGTGGGCCCGCCCCCTCTGACACCCCTCCCATGCCATTCGCCCCAATGGCGACGGTCCACCATGACCCAACAAGTGACACAGTCGTGGATGGTATACGTATCAATATGAAGTGTGATGGAGGACGGTGGTGACTGCGTTGACGTGCCACATAGTTGTTCAAAGAGCAAGCCTTCTCCACGCCTCTACAACTAGGCACTCCGACCCTTGCAAGTATGACGCGACGGAACGTTCAGCTTGGTACTCGCTGTTCTGCATGCGGTCCTACGTGTTTGGGATCTAGAATTTGCCACGAGCATAGTCAAGCACGCTCGCTCCAGACACGAAGAGGGGAAGGGCGCAGCTCCAGGCTATGTTGGAAACTCAGACTCAGTTCCATCGTGATGCTTTGTTGCAGGATGCTGCTAGCGTCTCGAACCATAGGCAGGCCTCTTGTTATCAAATACACCGCCGCCCAGGCCCACCGCCAAGAGCCTGGGATCCCTTGAACAACGGACGAGCTTTCAGCGATGTACAAGCATGTGCTTGCAACGTGAAGTTCTTCACGTTCCGCGTGCCCCCGTCAGCTGTACGAACAAGACTTGTGCCACTGCTGTACAAACAAAAGGTACTGCCGTTTGCAGTCCTATCTGTGACGAGGTTGCCCCTCTTCACTCTTGCGCTGAAACGATGCAGTTGTGTCGTCCGGGTGTGCCTGTCGGTCCTGCTCGTCTCGGACGGTGCCTCGTGCCGACTCACACCGGGTGATTGACCTCTGCGTGTTGTTATGGTCGCGCCGCGGCGCCATTTTATTTGCGCTGATTTGATGATCGCCACCGGGATCTCCACGCCACCAGGTTGGGAGTGTCGTTTCTGGCTCTTCTTCTGAGTGGTTGCCCGTGCGTTCGCTTCGCTTGCCTTTCTTTTCTTGCTGCCTAGTCGCGGCCCGGCCAGTGTTCGGACGGCTTTTGACCTGCTTCGCGAGCCCGCAGACCAAACAAGTGTCCCCATCAGCCCACTCAGAAAGCCTGTCCGTGATTCGGCGGCGACCAATGGGGGGAAGTGACAAGCAGAAGGCCTCCTCATAAGGCTCCGACGTCCCCCGGTCTTCTGAACAGTTTCCTGAAATACATGGAACGCTTCTCATCAGAAGGCGCGAGGGCTTCCGAAAAGTCCCGCCGCCTTCCGAGAAGGCGTTTTCCTTCTCACTTCCCCCCCTCGCTCGCCGCCAGGTGATAGCAGGCGGTGGGAGGGGCGACGAGATACACGTAGTGAAGCAAAGCAGGCAGCCATGTGGTCGTTTTTTATTCGTTGTATTGCCGAACGGCGCGGGCCCTCGCAGCCCCCCCCCGCTGGAGTAGACCTTGGCTGTTTTTTGGTGGCTGTTTCGAGCAGGTGGGGCCTCCGCCATCATGGGCGCACTGCTGCAAACAGACGCCATCAATCAGAGGCCCGCAGCCAGACCCCTCCCTTCCTCCTAATATCGAAGCGCCGAATTAGAACAAAAAAACGCTCACTCGGGAACCCTGCTCGTGATAGTTGGCGGGGGGAGGGACGACGAGGCACACATAGTGAAACAACGCCATCAACCAGTGTGAGCAGAGAAATTTCTGGAGCACGGGCGTGGCCTTGGACGTGTCTCTTCGGGCCATCCCTGCCCCACCCCCTTC